AAAAATTTAAGATTTTATTGGGTAAAAGAGAGTACAGGAAAAGAGAGATTAACGATAGAGCAATGAGTAAGTCTTAATATCATAAGTTTGATGAAATTATCCAGCATCAGAATATGAGAAAGGACCAACAGTTAAATTGATAAAAATCATTAAATTTTAAAATTTTAAAATTTAGAAAAAAACAACTAATTTGATAATACATTTAAGACTTAAGAATGAAAAATAGAAACAAACTTGAATGTTATGAGGCCGTGGAAGTGCAAGAGAAAGAGCCAAGAGACAAACTAAACTGCAATCCATTTTTAGCAGGAGTTGTCAGAAAAGCCTTCCCTTCCTGTCACCGCTACCGCAGTAGTGTCTGTGGGTATTATTCGTCAATTTATGTTCTCTCTAACATCACTACCATAATCAACATCATCATCATCATCAATCATCATCAATCATCATCATCAATCATCATCATCATCAATCATCATTGTCAATATCATTGTCAATCATCATCATCACTATCATTATCATTATTATTATCATCATTGCCTTCATTATTAATTTTCCCATTGAGTTTCCATGTATCATTTCTTCACCGTAATTTCTTTCCTATTTGCTTTCTTCAGGATGTATCTTGTGGAAAAATAGCGGGACGTCTTATCAAATCCTACCTCGTATCAGAAAAGTTTTGGGATTAATAATCATAATCTAATTGGATTTCATCAAATCTTCAAATATATAAAGTTAACATTAGAATTCATAGTCTTCCTATAACGAAGTCACATCTCTGCTTACTAGTAAAGTTACTATAATCAATCTAATAATTATTAATTAACAATTTGGTTCACATTTCAGCAGTGATAGTTTCGTTTTTCTTTTGAATATCGCAATGTATTTCTGTGGAAAACTAATTTATCATTCTTTCTTTTCATTTTTACACATTTTGTCATCTTTTTTTTGTTAGGGAAGAATTTCTTGCCTGAATATATTACAAATTTGGGAAAGCTAATAGTTTAGAGTGATACGCTGCATATTTCTGAAATTATAACTTACATTTTAGAGAAGATACATTTCACATTTCAAATAGTTTTATTCAATGTTGCAGTTTCCCAGTAAATATTTCTCAGTACCAGCATTTGGTATATATTAGTATTAAATTACATAATGATCATTTTTTATAATCTCCATTTCAATACGACCCTGGCAACATTTAACTTTGTTTTCCGTGATCTCTAAATGGTCAAGGTCTCTTCAGTATTTCCATTTTTAAAGCTTGAGATCAAGACAAAAATTTATGAAAGTTCATGAAAAATAAAAATTGATTTTCCGAAATTCCAGATTTAACTAAACTAGACCAAGTACAGATTATGTTAAAAAAAAAAAAAAAAACTAAATACGTAACCATTTGATCTTATCAAAAATTTTCATCTGGTTAATGATGCCAAAATTTATCAAAAAATGCTCATGAAATTTATGCAACATCATCCTGCAATCTTGTGTCAAGACTTTGTTTGCGGAAATCACTTTTTAGAATCGCTATCATTTCTCATATCTGTTTATTTCCAAACACTCCCAGGACAATCGTTTAGGAAGACAAAAAGACCAAATAATTATATCCTCAAAAAAAGCTTCAATTCAAACATGAATTTCTACACAAAGTTATTTAGCCAATCTCGATTCATTAGATGGTATTTAACATAGTGACCAAGGGAATTCAGGCTTGTCGTTGCACCAATAAACATTTAATGATTTGATGAAATTATGCTCACTTGATCATGTAAGTAAATTTTTTAGAGATGAATGCTGCCACCAAATTCTATAGCAAATTTCCAACCTTGAATATCAATACTTATTCGCAACACAACACTTTTGCAAAATTTATGAGCACTAAGAATACTGAATGTTCTATACTGAATAACCTAAAAGAAAATATGCAAAAACATCCCAAACAGACATCTGTAAACAAAAAAGGTTAACAGAGACCACAGACTTAATTCAATAAGAAATTTACAAACTTGCTCACCCCGCAGGATGTTTTACGTCTTCCGAAGTAGTTTCTGAGTATGAAAAAGTTTGATAAACGAACTTAACTTAGGTAAAAGTAGAAGTTATTATGAGTCAATAGTACAATTAAATTTTTTATTCTTATCTGCTGCGCAAGCTATACAATACAACAATAACCGATAAACAAAAACATTTATGTGCAAATCACAACCGACATCATAATTTTGAAAAAGCCACAGGCTAAGACTATCGAAAAGACAAGTAAACAGATTAGCAAAATATACACGAGTGTGGCACAAAAGTTTCATCGCTTAAATAAAGCGGTATTAAACGCATAAAGTGCAATCAACTCAATCCACCGAAATAAAAATAACTGGAGAAAAAATACATATAAACAGAGAAATACGACACTTCACCAACTGTCTAATGGCAGTACACAAACCAACAAAACAAAAAAAAAGTATAATAAAAAATGTGAAACCGAAATAGCAGTGATTGAAACGAGATTTGACTTAATTGAGGTCCTTCCATCATGTCAGATATATATCCGTGCTTCATTCTTCAAAAAAATTCTGCTCATCTCAAAAGAATTCTACTCACTTTTTCTTTCCAAAAAAGAAAAAATAAATTTAGGAAACCGTCAGCCACCAATATTAATATCTTGTCGACATTTTTCACACTTTAATATCTATAACAAATAAACGAGGTATCACAGATGGAAGTAATAATGCAATTGGTACGTAAAATACCACAAATAAATCATTCGAATTTTAACCCTTCCAACTGAAGAAATTTTGACCAAAAGATAAAAGAATTATGGTTACATTTTTAAACCACGTAATATGTAAAAAGAGCCAATAAAACAAGTCTGTAATGATGAGATTAACAATACTGTACGGAGGAATGAACAATGCTTTTTTCCACTTAAGTCGCATCTGGTCTGTGCTGATTGCATGACCGTTTGCTATAACAGGCGCATTTCTTCCGGGCGTAAAGGACGAGTTTTTCGCAGGCGTTTCCATTCTCCTGTTCGATAATCCATCTAAAAGAGGTGTAAGCATGACATTTTGCTAAAATGTCTGATTTAGTTCGAAGCCACTAAAATCAGCACCTATCTAATCATCATGTCGTATTGCATGGACTAATTCATGTGTAATAAAGTCCTGAATTTTTCAAAGTATTAATAATGTATAAGAAAATGGTCATTATAATCAGTTTGTCACTTTGCAGGAATATGCTCACCGATAATACGAGAATTAAGCACCAAAAACAAAAGTAAACTCCCTAACAGCCCACCAAAGAAAGCTTATACTATCAACATGGAATATGAAAACAAAATTACACATTGCTAATATAACAATACCTGAAAGAAGGTTTCTACACGCATTTTCTGCACTGTTCCATCTGGTCGAGTCTCATCTTCGTAAGTTTCTGACAACTTCAAGGTTAGGAGATCACCCAAATGAGGATACGGATGAACTGAAACATTTCTGGATGGACTTCATCAAACTACGACAACAAGAAAGCTTAATTACTGAGTCTGCAATGTTTCTACTTCAAGTGGCTATAATTTCTACCACAATAGTTTGCTGTTCACTATTAAATTTTCCTACTCATTTTCAGGCACATCTATAAATCAGAAATGCAGATTTTCTTGCAGTCCACAAAAATATAGTTTCACAACACAAAGTAAACATCCCCATCCAAACATACCCATTCTGTTCCTTCCATGGAGATGCACTTAACGATGGTTCTGGAATCTAAAAATCTCTTTCTAGAGTTGAGAAAAAAATATCAAGACGCATAGCGCTTATGTAGGCAGCAAATCCATAAATTAAATTTTCGTTTTGTTAACAAAGTCACCCACCTTTGTTACCGGACATGAAAGCAATGACCATACGATGACCTTCTTCGTTCAATACATTGGCACACGCTAACATTTCTTCACATTGCCGACGTGCGAATGATTCACGCTGAATGAATTACTAATAAGAAACAGCTCAATTGACTATTTTACAACTGTCAAAAATTATCGTCACATTTCACCCAATAAAATCCGTATGCTTATGCACTAGAAAGGTGCATTAGAAAGGTTATCAGTGATTCCTTTCACATATGATATGAACTCCCTGTCATTGAACAAAAATTATTTGTAAAAAGCAAAGGCAGATATTTCAGAAAAGAACAGAGGTGATTTCAAAATCAACTCCAAATTGTCATAATTCTATAACGTCTAAGATTAGTAGAACATAACTTCTTTCAGAAAAGTTTAATGCTATGTCAAACAGAACTTAGTACAATTTCAAAGGGCAATACCCGAGACTGATAAACTGCAGATGAAGCTGACTGCAAATCCTGACTATTTTCCGACTGTACTGTTGGTAAATCGCGAACATCGCCATAGGAAGACGAGAGTTGGCTGGAATCTTGTTTGGATGAGAGTTGGCTGGAGTTTTGTTTGGACGAGAGTTGGCTGGAATCTTGTTTGGAACCACTGCTTTCAGCATTTACAGAAGCAATATCATATCCTTCACGAATCAAATTTGGATTATTCCGAATTGCAGAAGAAATTGCTTCATTTACCGCAGCTGTAACTTCATCCACTGTTGCAGCTCTAATAGCAGTTTCTTTGGCCTTCTTGGCGACTATTGAAGCTCGTTTTGTACCCTAAAAATTTAAAATTTAATTAATTCATCTAATAAAACAATATTCTATACGCGTTTAGCAACTAATATCAAAATTCCACAAGAAATCATATATTTATTTAATTTTCAAACTAAATATAAATTATATATTTAGTTTTCAAATAAATAAAATAGGCAACTATTAACTTTTGCAACTTTTTCAGCCTGTGCACGTTTTCTCTGCTCTTCCTTTTCTCGTTGCCTCCTTGCTCGTTCTTCTGCTTCCTGCTCTTTTCGACGAATACTCAGTGACGGTGGCAGATCACAAATGTCAATAAATTTAGCACCACCTTCGCGTCTCGTTAACTGTCTTGGAAATTTGCGTGGTTCGTTCGTGAAACCAGCGGATAATTTACAAGTATTTGTAGTCGGAATCCCACGCATTGGTACTAGAATATATGAAAACCGTCATGTTCTCAATCAAATCGTCTGCAACTTCGAAAAAACCACCAAAAAAATTACTAAAAATTCGATCTAAAACTTTAAAAGTTGATAATATCAACGACACTGCTACGTGAAGAGGCCACTAATATCTAGAAAACTAATTACCCTTGCTTACATAGCTTCATGTGAATCAGATCTGTCGATTTAGTCAGAAAGTTTAATTAGATATCTGGATATCACACAACTTTGTGCTGTTTAAAAACAAATGTGTATGATTTTCCTAGGCCAACAGCAACTGCTACGACAAAAGAAGTCCTGCAGTTGATTTGTCGAAAATTACCTTGAATACAAAAACATTACGTAGAACATGTGATTCGAAAATTCCCTAACGTACTTTTTGAACAATTTTTCTATATTTTGTTCCAACAAAAAAAGACACTTACAATCATTATTCGGCTTTCTAGCAGTGCTTCGTATGCGAATAGGAAAACTTGATGATATTACATCAAACTTCTGATTTTTATTTCGATTATGACCAAGTTCTATTGCTGTAAATACAATGCAAATGTTAGGAAAAAAACCTTTTCCGATTTATTAACAGAATAATATCCTTTTCCAAAGTGTTTAGAATTTGATTTAGAAAAATTCAATTCAAGGTAAATATTCCATCACTAACATTTCAACAGCTCAGCTTTTAGAGTATATGATTTAGCGCGTCGCTTCAAATTGAAATGTTTCCGATTTTCAATTTCGGTTAAACCAAAACGTGTCTAAAAGTCTGAATCTGTTATTACGAGAACATGTGATTTGAAGAGTGAGATACAAAACGATAACATAACGGAGATAAGCAAGAAAATAATAATCTGAAGTAGAAAAATCAACACTACTTAAGTATTTGTTATTCTAATCAATTTTATAATGAATTTAACATTAATATACCTTGATTGCATTTTGTGATACGGAATTCACGTCAAGCGGTAACAATCGTAAATTATTATTTGCAGAGTGCTTTCTAACTGAAAACAAATTTATGAACTCATAATTTCAAGAACTAAAATCAGACTACTTCATCTCTAATCCTATTTGTTCTGCATAGTTTGCCTTACGTTTACTGAAGAATTGAAAGCAATTTCTGTATTTAATAAAGAATTCAGAATGATTCTAATCATGTATGGCTACAGAGAAAATCCATATGAAATATTTCCCTTTTGCAATGTTCGTATGAATAAAACAAAATTTCGGCTATGAACTGAAGATGAGGAAACCTAAAGTGACAATAAATGGAGGACAAAAACTTACCCATTTTCCTCAACTCATCAAGCGATTTACAAAAATACGAATCTGCATTGGTAGGTATTGGTGTTATACACTGTTGATTAGGATATTCTCTATACATGTCAGCAACGGTTTCAATCCAATCATCAGCATCTCTTCGTGCTAGATCCAATAAATTCATTAGCGGTTCTTTCCACTGAAACCAAAACAAAAGAATTAACAAATGAAATAATAACGTATATACGGAAAACAAAAGGAAAAAGATCCAAAAGAACATTTAATTTGTGCAGTAGGATAACCAATGGTATTTTACTTTAAAAGCGCACGGTTATTCACATCTACTTTACTGACGTCTAAGTTTTAAAATCTAAAACGACCATTAAAATCATGTTTATATTTGCTTTACACTAAATATCTTTCAAATGCTGAACAAACAAAAAAAAAAAAAAAGATAAACGTACCATTGTAATAAGCTTATAGGACAAATGCGGAAGAGCTAATATAATTTTCAGTTTAACATTCGATTCCAGTGCTTGGAAACATGTTTCCAATTCTACCAACATTTCGCGTGAAAGTAACGATGCAGCCTGTCGACCACACCATAACTCGTTGTTATCACCAAGTTTGTTGTCCAACCATTTCACCAAATCCAAATCACGAAGCTGAGAGCTACACATCGATACTTTGAACGGTGCCTCATAATTTAATCCCGGCTAGAACAACCATCCAATATTTACAATGCCAAATTGCAAAATATCCGCCAGCACCTATACTTTTACTCTTCAATTACAACCTATATATGTTTCATCTTACATATGACAAATTGCAACAAATTAAGACATTTAACACAGTCGGTTCTATTTTATTAAATCATAAAATACGTCATTATATTTGTAATATGTATGAATTAGAAATGTAGAAACCAATATGATGTTACCTCAATTTTTTGCTTCTTTGCTTCTGGTGAACCATCAGTACCTGATTCCTCCACCTGATTCGCCATAACTGAGCCTTTGGCTTATCGTTACGACTTTTCCTTTTTTCTTTCACTTCTCGGCAACAACATAACGAATTAATTCAACGACATATGATAATAACATGTACCTTTACTTTATTACTTCTACATGTTATAAACGAATTCAGCAAGAATTCAAAGTGTAGAAATAGCTAACAAAAGCATAGAATAGCGGATAAAGGTAAACAGAGAAGGCGTAATGCTGAAAGAGCAACGGAAAGGGATAACAAAGACCAACTTATATTCATCTGAATAAATATAATGAAACCTTCTAGCGACTGCTAACAACATGTTCAAAAATTTAAATTAGATCCATCTAAGAAGAAACTTTAGAGTTACGTGACAGTTCGCCACAATTGTTGAGGATTAACTTGCGACACACAAACTCTTTTCACAGCTGTCAGCATAGTTTTAAGAGACTATCGCTTCGATTTTAGTCGGATACAGCTGCGACTATTCTTAAATTTAATTGATGAAAAGTTATGAAATCAAATTTTAACTAAACGATTCATACTCTTCCTTTATTCATCACTATTTTTCGTGTTTCTGCTGATCCATTTAAACGAATGTTATCGAACGATAACTGGACATTTGCATTATATGCTAGAAGAAATGTCTAGAAA